AAGTATATAAACACAAACACACACTCCCATAGTGTTCCCTGTCCTCCTCAAAAACTGTGACTCTGAGAGGGTCACTCTTGAACTATGCAGCAAAGGGAGAGAGAGTGTGAGAGAGATAGAGAGAGAGAGCAGGACCATATTTGGTAATATGGGAGGGGCCTCATTGCGAACACCAGCCCACTATGCAGATGAACGCTTGAATGACAGGACAAGACTGATAAAGGAGTTGAAAGAGCTATAAGAAGGATATTTAGCTTTGCTTTATGAGATGTTTATCATTATACAGATATTAATCAGGTTTTTATTCTATAATTTATTAGAGGAAAGCCAATTTTAGAGACCTATAACTGCGCTAGCTGTTCGTTTAGTGAGGAAATGCAAACATCCCTTTACTTGATGTTTTTTTTTAAGTATTTTCAATTGTTATTAGTCTGTCCTCATGTCGTTCCGCATGGATATGTTGCCGTCGGTCTGTGTATTCGCAAACATTTCGAGTAACCTCATCTGACCGGCTTTTGTTACAAACACAAACCTCATTGGTCTGTCAGTTTACAGATGCAAAGGCTTTCTGTCATGGGTAATCACAGAATAACACAGAGTGCCAGTCTAATATACGAAGGTGACAATTTGGTAGCAAGGCATCACACACACACACACACTCGCTCCCAATCAGTGTCGTAATTTTCTCAGTGTTGATGCATAGATTAGATGATTTGAGATTGCAGATGCACACACACACACACACACACACACACACACAAAACCTCAGATGAGATGATTACGGTTCAGTCACAGTTTGACGTGGCCTTTTATGTCCGCATATTTTGTTCTCAGTATTCCCCTATTACGGCCTCACAAAGGTCAGTGTGCCTGTCAAAAATCTGTCCGCGTCCCATCTTGATTAAGATCTAAACCCTCACCATGTTCTTTGCTTGTGTGTGTGTGTGTGTGTGTGTGTGTGTGTGTGTGTTTGATCCAAAACCTGTCATGAGTTCATTACTCTCAATTTTATTCAGAATAACATTTTCGATTCCGGAAGCATCATTGATTTATTTGCACAGAGGAGCCATTGCCAAAATATAATGCCCATAATGGCGGGTTACTGAATATACAACAGTACTGTTGAAAGGAGTATTTTAAGATTACATTGAATAGCAATTAAATTTCAGATATATTAAACTCACCCGCTACAAGTATACAAGCGTTCCTGTCAGCCTGAACAAAGTCACATCGCTTTGCCCCAGATCAGTGTCATCTGATGGTTTTGGATGGACTAATAAGACTGATCATCTGACTTCAGACCTGTAGAATTAGATGTTGCTGTTGAGTCTATGTTGTACCATTTTTCATCTGTCTAATTTTTTTTAAATGTGCCCTAGCATACAAAGCTTTTTGTACATATTTTATGAATACAGCTTTTAAAAGTGAATCATTAACATTTATAATATATACAATTAGAGTAAATATGTAGAATTTTATGAGATGTTTAATGTAGATTCTTTATCTGGTTATTGTAATTAATGTGATAATAAGAACGAGCTTTACTTGAAGTTATTACTTTTTGTCACCATTTCTGCAGAGACATGTGTACTGAAATAAGGAGATAATTTAATGCAAAGTAGATAAGATTATGTAGTTTTTACGTCAAATTGTTAATCAAAAGCGCTTGCGAGAGAAAGAAGGCGACGGAATATAAGAAATATTGCTAAAAACGGGCCAAGACTCAGACACCCAGACAAGGCCTCAGAGCCTGGAGTCACGGGTGAGTCTCAAGCCCACTCAGGGCTCTTTCTTTTCAGAGGATGGTTTGCCCTTGAGGGATTAAAGCCTGGGGCCTTGAACAGAGCTAACTAGCAACAGCCATATTGACACTTCAAGAGGCACAACATGGACAAATTCTGCTTTTTTTCTGAGGACACTTTAGAACAAGGACTTTGCTTGGACTCCATGAATCAAATCTCTTATTTGTGTGTGCGTGTGTGTTTTGATAACTCCTGAACGTCAAACTGATCTCCATAAGGTCCAAGGAAGGATAAATAGCGAAGGAGAAATAACATTGGTCCATCATTGGATACCTTCATGCTTTCTTGAGGCACAAGAAGACGTAACCGCACCATTCCTAGTTGTGTCATCCTCGTGAGGTCCATACAGCAGATATGGCTGGTTATTATACTGTGATGGTCTCTGGTAGGTGGATGATTTCACATGTTGTCCAAAAGTAACAGTTCCTAAATATCTTTAAGGTTGTTTGTTGGGATTTTCTGTTGCTTTTTCAGTTCAGTGCAATTCAATCTTTAAGCAATAATGACGGAAACTGGAACCTTTTTAAGAAAATGGAAGATTACTCTGTTTCTTTCTCTCTCTCTCTCTCTCTATCTTTAGTGTACATGTTTCTTCCCTCGTTCTCTTAATGTTGTGAGTGCTCTTGATGATGTAGTGTGCACAGTGTTCCTATTGCCAATCTGTAGGACACTGGAAAGCTTAATATGACATTTCTCCCACTTTATTTTACACCGATGGAATCTGTTTGTCACAGGACAGTCATGGAAACATCCGAAACATCCATATACTCAAAAATGTCAAATTTGAGATTTATTATTATTATTATATATATATTTTTTTTTACAATAATCAAGTAGACGGCATACAACCTACAAGAGTGAAACTCTCATATGACCAAAAAGCACAAAAAAAAACAGTTTCTCCCATGAATGTGTTGGAAATCATGGAGCCTCATGTGAAAATGTGCATGTATGCGTGTAAACTGAAAAATATGTGTCCAATCCAACTAGATGTTTCTTAAGCATGAACAAGGATGAGAAGATTTCAATATCGCTTAAAAGGGACATGGCCAGTATTGCGTAATTTAAATAATGACACATTATATGTTATTTGTTCTTTGTGCTCAATAGATTTCTGTCTGTGACTGATCTAACATTGATCTGAACTGTCAGCTGACACAAAGGAAAACGTATTTTCATAGGATTTTGCGTCTTGGTTTTCTGACTCATTTGCTCTTTCTCTGTACAGGGTGTGTATGAATGCGTGAAAACGAAATGAAGCAGAGAGAGAGAGAGAGAAATAAATCGATTAGACTTCCACCCCAGTGCTCTGGCTGTTCTTTTGGGGGCTTATGGGACTCGTGGTTTTTGACCAGAGGATGACAGCTTGTCATGGCGTCTTGCTTTATAATGACAAACCTGTCGAAACTTCCCAGTTCGATGTAAACCCAGCAAAACTAGGCAAAAAAAGTCTACCAACTGGTATCCACGATAATACACACAGGCACTCTTTCTCATTCCAGTCGTTCACCTCAACAAGTGTGCGCCATCTTGTGTTTACGATGAGAACGGCAAGAATATGAAAGGGAACTGATAGATTTTCAAGTTTTACAAACTGGTAAGTCGTTTTTTTTAACCTTTATATTCATTAAACATTTGAAGTTTAGAATATTTTAGTAGTAGTATATCTACATTGTTATTAATTACAAATTGGCATGGATTCAGATTTTTACAAATGTGCCAAAAAATATTACTAATAAAAATGAAAATGTTCGCCTTCTATTAAAATTAATTTGTCAGCACAAAGCCCACCAAAATGTTTTAGGCACTTAATTAGATATTTATCGAAGTACAAAATCACTTTTGCTCAGCGATGGTGTTCTTGATTGACCCAAGCTCTGCGCCAGGCAGGTGCCCCAAGGAACGTTTTTAGAACTTTGGCGAGGTTCGTTTCACGTTATCAACAAACGTTTCTCCAGTAACATTAATAGTGTGTTCGTTCAAAGGTGTGTTCGGTTTTTTTTGTTTGTTTTTTTGGTCTTTGTTATCGTTCTCAAATCGTTAGCACAAAAATTATATTTTTGATTTCCCCCCCCCGTTTCAGAATGTTCAGGGAACATTTAAAAGTTTGCAAAATGATCAAATCGAATGTCCCCTTAACGATCGCATAACCAAGAAAGTTCAGAGAACTTTCAGAAATAATGCTTCATAATAGAAATGTTAGCAAAACATTCTTAGAACGTATTGTGTTAACAGGGACTATGCATTATTTGCATCATGCTTTGATTCACTAAATACACATATTCATACAAAAGTATATTTATATTTTATTATTGAAAGTCAATAATTATTTGTTTATACCATGCTTGCTGACCCCCTCCACTTCACATCTTGCAAGTAGGCTTCCTAGTTCCCAGACCCTTTTAGAGAGTGCATTTTTGAAACTATATGTTGTGTGAAGTTTGCAATGTGTGTAAGTGTATTGTGTAACAGTGGGTAAAAAGTAAATTTGCATAATGTGAAGCATTTGTAAATGATGCACACTGATGCAAGCCTCATGAGATGAAGGGTAGCTTGAAGCAAGCATTAACTTTAGACATTGTTCAAGACACACAGACACACACACTCTCCCTGGCAGAAGTGGAGAGCCCTTTATTATAAGGTCACTACCGATCTAGCCATGAACTAAATGAAATATCTACTCCGTAAAAAGATCGATAAAGGGCAAATAAAACCAATTCTCTCGTTTACTCCCCCTGAAGAGACTGCAGATATGTCGGGCTCATTCAGATGGAAGATGGCTGCTGTGCTGTTAAGCAGACAAGATCTGAAGTGTGTACAGATCATGTGCTTAAAATTTATATTGTCTTTATAGAACATTAACATTATTTTTCACCAGTGTAAATTAAGCGTTAATTTAGATTTCGATTAGAAAAGTTGAATGAGTGGTAAACAATTGCAGCCAAGCAGCTTTATTAAGATGTTAAAAAGCTGCTCAGTCTTTGTTTCAGACAAAAACAAACATGTCAAAATGTATTTGAAAGCGATCTCAGCTAAAAAAAATAAGAGTCAAATCTTCATAAGTCATACTTTTTCCATGTAAAAAGAACAGAAATATATTGTATATGTTCACAATTGAAAGCTAACAGTCTTTGTTTCAGACAAAAAATGCTTTTAAACAAACATGTCAAAATGTATTTGAAAGCGATCTCAGCTAAAAAAAATAAGAGTCAAATCTTCATAAGTCATACTTTTTCCATGTAAAAAGAACAGAAATATATTGTATATGTTCACAATTGAAAGCTAACATTATACAATATGACTGACTACTCATGAAATACAGTCATCAGGGTCAAACGTACAATGGCACAGTGGTGAGCTCACTCACAATCAAACAAACTCAAACAAATTGCACTTACTTAGGTGTTCTTATGGAATAAATCAGTAAACATTTTATAGGAATGTGTGACAAAATATGAACACCTAAAAATAAGTAAACCATCCATGCAGTCCGCTTAACTAAATTAAGACAATCTTCTGTCAAGTTGACATCACAAAAGAGCAGTCATCATGGCACAAATGTCATTAAGTATGTCAGAATTGAACACAAGTCGAATGATTTCACATAGGATATAACAACTTTTTGCAATGTAGAGGTATATATATATATTTCAGTGTAAAAGCAGTATTTTTTGTCAGTCAATTGCTTCAAGATAAGCATGAGAGAAATATATCACAGCAACTCATGGATTCTACCCTGTATGTTTAAGAATATAAAACTTCCTTGATGCAGTAACTTCATACAGTGTGCTAAACTTATAATGGCACTCCAAGTTCAAATGTTTCAAAAGATATCAAATCGAGCGTCTGTTGATGTCACTCTTTAGAGATTTGCCTGGCATCTCTCTTCTAGCATATGTTTATGTTACTCTGTCAGCGCTATTGCTATCTTCTCCATCTCTAGCTGTCCAGGGAGCCGCTGCCCTTGTTCTTGTTGCGGCTGAGTGGGAAGGTGGATTTGCTCTGAGGCTGGGTCATTTTGCTGGCCAGATGGACAAAGGGCTCGATGAGCGTTCGTCTGTCGGTCACAGAGACCTCCCACAGCCTGACCTTCTCCTGCCGTGCCCACTGCTGAGCCGCCTCGCTGTCCACTCTCCTCTGATCCTGCAGGTCCAACTTATTACCCACAACAACAATAGTCACCTGTGAGACAGAGAAAGAAAGTTTCTTTACATTTATTTCATGATGTCATTTTTTAGCTTGGAAAAATTGTCATGTTTTTCTCAAAATATCAATTAAAATTGGACTCCTCATGAGTCATTCAAAAATTTGGGATGGCAAGACTTTTTAATGTTTTGCAAGAACTCTTATGCTCACCAAGGTTGCGTTTATTTGATGTAAAACTGTAATATTATGAAATATTAGCAAAACAAGAGTTTTCTATTTGAATACATTCTAAAATGTAATTTATTCCTGTGATGGCACAGCTGTATTTTCAGCATCATTACTCCAGCCTTTAGTGTCTCATGATCCTTCAGAAATCATTCTAACATGCTGATTTGCTGCTCAGAAAACATCTGTTCTGCTTAATATTTTTGTACACAGCTAACAAAATCATGTTCAAAGAACATTTTCCTGATGTTAAGGGAACATTTTATTTGATCATTTTGCAAATTTTACTTTTAAATGATCTCAAAACAGTCTGACACAAAAAGTAACATTTACAAAAATGCCAGATAAATGGCCAAATAAAACAATAAAAAAACGTTCCATGAATGATGTATAATGTTTTTGTGCTATCGTTCTATGAATGGTACTGGAAGAGCATTTGCTCATAACTCACAACCTTGCCAGAACGTTCCCTGTTAGCTGGGTAGAAACTGTCATACATTTTTTCCTGTTTTTTTGATGAATATACTGTATAATGTTAGTTCAAAAGAAAAGCATTTATTTGAAATATAAAACTCAACATTATACATGTATTTACTGCCACTGTTAATTAATATGTCAGTGCTAAATAAAAGTATTCATTTAAAAAAAAAAATATATATATATATATATATATTGACCCCAAACTTTTGAACGGGTGGTGTGCAGTCTGTGCATAACAAACACACAGACCTCTTTTTTGTCACGGCAGCGGTCGATGTCTTTCTTCAGAGCCTCTACGCGTTTGAAGGACTCTTTGCTGTCGATGCTGTAGACGAGCACGAAGCCGTCCGCGAAAGTGAAGTAGTGCCGCGGAAACTCGTGACCATCGCGCAGCCCGCGCGTGTCGTAAAACCGCACCTGCTCTCGGGTGCCGCGGTCCGTTTCCACAGACCCGATGTAAATGTCCTCCAGTGTCTCCATGGTCTCTGAACCTGCCAAACCGGTACCACATGAATCTGTACTGCTCATTTATTTGGGTTTAAGAAATGACTCGTGTCAGGTGGGCGCTGTCATAACACTCACCTGCGACATGGTTGGCGTACAGTAACTGCTCCAGAACCGCGCTTTTGCCCACTGATCCCTGGCCACACACCACCACCTTGCAGCTCTTGCCCATGATCACTTACAACCGCGCAGTCTTCATTAAAGTATAGAAATACACTAGAGATAAAAGGTGGGTTGTAGTAGAAACCTGTTACAACGAGAGAATAGAGAGAATACTGACGTGCAATAATAATAATGCCTTTATGCTACAGTCACATGATCGCTGCACACACTGGTTTGCATAAACCTGCTGCGCCTGAAGCTACATCTTCAGAGTGTATCAGATTACTGTATAATTGAATACTAAATTGTATTCATCTTTGATAAGTATTAAATGCATTAAAGAAAATAACCGAAGCGTTTAAGAAAAAACTGGACTTATCGTACTCTCTTCCTGTTGTTTATGTCAGATTTCAGCCTTCGACGAAATTTGACACCAGTTCCGTTGAGCTGAATAGCGCCCTCTCTGTCCGGAGGACAACAATACATGCCGGTACATAATACATAGGTATTACATGGGTATTACAAAAAATGTAAAAAAAATATTATAACAATAAAAAACACCTGTAAACATATAAACCTTTGGGATTGCATGTGGAGAAATACATACATACATACATGCACACATATGAAGAAAAATTATATTGTACGAAAACATTCAGGAGAACATTAATGAGTATTCGACACAATATTTCAAAGAAAACACAGAAGGAAAAACACATAAGCAAGATAAACAAACTAATGAATATAGTAAAAAAGATAAATAGGCCTACGTATATTAAAAAAAAAAAGCTGATGTTTTAAAAACCATTAACTACAAATAAATAAAAATATATCAACTGGAAAAAGTTGACAAGTAGGAGGAAGGTAGATTAAACCTTCTAAATAGTATATACTAAAAAATGGAATCTGCCACATTAATATTTGTTATCAGTATAGCTAGTCATTATTTATGTAACACATTATGACATAGCCTATACAAAGTCACATATGCAGAAGTTGTGAAGAAGCATTGGTTGCACACACCTTCTCAATGAATACACTTTCTCTTAACTGAATGAATTTTGAATAAAGGGTAATAAAACATTTTGGTCGTGAACCACTCTTTATTTTTACTGAATCGATTGGATGAATGAATGATTTAGTTGATCGGCTGACCACCTGTGATAGTAAACAGGATTGGTGACTCACTCATTACATCAACTGAAATTAAAATAACATACTAGCACTAAATTTAGTATAGGCTATAAAATGAAAATAATTTAGCTTTTAAAGCAAAAGTTCAATAATGCATAACAATACAATATCATCTCTGAAAAACATGAAAGCTGTAAAATGTGGTCAGTCCATGCAGGTAGCTACTATTTGTAAACAATGATTTTATTTTAATTTTCTTATGTTTAGTTTTATCTTTTGATTTTATTTTTTGCTGTTTATCCTAAAGTACCACCTGAATGTAGTTGTAGCTAAATCTTTAAAACCAATTTAAAAAATATTACACTATTACTATGTACTTGTATTCAGCCATACAAAAAAATACAGTCATTTGTCGCCACCTACTGGCGTAGCGCAACGTCACCTGCAATCACTGAGCGAATCTTTTAATTTAAGTGAACTGATTCAAAAGATTCGAGTAACGGACGTGAATCAAAATTCTTACATAAAAATAAATAAATTCTTTAAGATGTTTCACATAATTACAGTTAGAGATATCTGTGCAGTCTCTATAGTTTAAAAACAATGTAAAGAGTAAGGGCCAGTTTTTTAAAAACTACTGGAACTGTTAATTTAACTAACTAGACAAAATGCTTTGATTTAATCTTTAGTGCACTTTTATTTCTGAAAATAGTTTCTCCACACTATCTCAGTATTGTTTCTCGTGTATCCGTTGACCTACTATGGGCATATTGCGCAGGGCTGCGGAAGGCGGAGCTGAAGGCGGTATGAAAGGCTCACATGCCTCGCGTCTTCCTCCGCCTCTCTACAGCAAAATGGCGACTGTTGACTTAGACTCGTCCGCGGATCCAGAGATGGACTTGACCAGCGACGAGGAGTTAGAGAGGTACCTGACAAGAGCGATCACTTTAATCAGATGCCGGCTGATCCGTTTGTGAGGTATCTGTGTTTTAGAGAAGCCGTGATCGGGCCCACGATTGTGTAAAGACCCTGAGATCGCGACTGCCGCATAACTTGAAAATCAAGGGGTGACTATGGCCTAGTGTGCCAGGCAGCTGCTTTTAGTGCTGGGGTGCCTTGCGATTAGCCTGCTGCTGTCCTTACGTCTTTTAAATATGCTTTGAGCTTTTAAAACGATGATCAAGGGTGCCGTGCATCGTGTTATTACGACAGATGTGCAGTACTCCGTGACACAGTTTTTGGGTGAGAATTAGGTCGAAGGCAGCGTGACATCATTGCTCTTAAGAGCACAATGCAGACGCACTAACCCACAGACGGGACAGCAGAAACATCCAGCTGTTCATCAGTGACGCACTGTTGCCTTAAATATGTCAAACAATTCTAGTTGTTGAGTGATAACCTTAGTAGGTGACTACAATGCAAAAAAAACGCACGTGCGTATAGAGGAAATGACGTTCTGTCCCTGCGGTTCTCCTGTATTTGCAGGCCACTACTTTTGACACCTGCTTGGACGTTTTGTCCGATGTATTAGGAACACGAACAGATTCGCAGCTTTTTAAACTCTCTTAAAGGGACAGTTCCCCACAAAACATGTACATTCTGACATTATTTACACACTTGGATTACTGATTTAGGTCACGTTAAGGAGAAGGACAACCTCAGTCAGAGTTCTGTTTTATTATGTGTCAAAAGGACGTGTAAAGAAAGTGAATGGGGAACGAGGCGGTCAGTCAGTTACATCTGAGGCTGACTGACGTCTGCTTCGATGACCGAATTTTAGTTTTCGGTGTACTGTCGCTTTAAATGCACATGGCGTTTCAATTATATTTATTCAGTGTTTAGTGTCATTAAAGTCAAGACGGGAATTTGAACCCAGAATTGTGATATGGACTGGTAGCTATCTATGCACTGTTTCATCGGGCGCATTCGCCTGGCCCGAAGTTAACTTCCGGTCTGTGTTTGTTTATCAGTCTGGCTATGGCGCCGGCTACAAACGCAGTTAAAGTTAAGGTGATGAGTAGACTGAAGTAGGGCTCAGGTGGTTGTGCTGTGGGATGTGTTTCCCATACATTTATTTATTTGTGGCGCTCGCCACGATATCAAAACTGACCGATTTTCCAAAAGGCTTCGTTGAATAAACATGAGCACATACTGCACATTTAAAAATCAAAATGAGGTGCGGGTGTTTTTATATCACTGTATTTCTGAAGGAAGACTATCTTTAGAAAATTTTCGATGTCATTTTCATTTCATCTTGCATGTTATATGCCTGATAAAGCAGCGCTTGTGAGCTCAGCGCTGCTTTGTGTACAGCTGTTAC